TTCCCTAAATTTGAAACTCAAAGCATTCCTTTACCTTATAAATATTTCATAGCTTTACATCATTGCGCCTCAATCTTTTCTTCTCAAATGAATTTCTAAGATTCTTAATATTTCAAAATATAGTTTTCTTTACTTTAAATAGTTAACTATAGTCTTATTCTCTTATACTAAATATCTTAATCTACAAAATTAATTTTCCTTACAAAAATATTCCTTTAAATCTACCATAATATTTAAATAGCTACAAAATATAGTTATCTGAATTAAATTTACTAAAAAAAATCATATTAATAATTTTTGAAAATATTTAAATTTAGAACATCTAATAGTTAATTTTTTTTTTTCCCTCCCCCAAACTTAAATTTTTCAATATGGAATGATACAGGTGGAAAGAAAATTCTAAATATAAATCATATCTCAGTACTTTAGGCATTTTTATCATTCTGAAATTTTGCAGTCCTTCTAAAAATTTTTACTTCAACTGGTCTGTAATATTAGGAGCTTTCTATACATATAAATCATTAGAAAATTTGTTGGGTAATGAAATTTTGAAATAAGTACAAAATTAAACATTATACAAACACAATATCTCGCTAATACATCCACAATACTAAATAAAAAACAATTACAAAGATATTAAAATGCAAAAGATATTAAAATGCAAATAAAAAATGCAAATAAAAATCACATCACATTATAATTTACAAAGTGTTAATCAACATATATTATAACTACACATGCAAATTTCAACTACCACACTAAACATTTAAAAAAATAATTAAAAATTATTCAATTGCAACATAGAAATAAAAATGAAAGTACAAACAAATAAACATCTATCTCTATTACACAAATTACAAAAATAAAAGTACATCAATTACTATCATATATTAAAATCCCATGCTATATCTTCATCTCCCTAGTCAGCAGGTGGATTGTGCTGATACTAAGTATAATGGGGGCATTCAAGAAAAGTAACATCAGGCTCACCTTTGTAGTGTTGGGCCTGAGCTTCGTAGTAAGTTATCTCAAATTCAGAATGCCTCTGTAGGTACTCACTATCATAATCATATCTACGTTCTAATTTCACATAATAGCATAAGACTTAGGAAAAATCCGCCGTCGATGACACCGTCAGTGAGATTTTCAAAATTGGTTCAATTTCCAGTTTTTTGCGCTTTTGATCAATTTCAAGCCAACATCCGTTCAATCATTATAGACATAAATTTTAAGTGATTAAATGATGTACTAACACAAATAAACATTCACAATACAAAACATCACAATTATATATAAATTCCAATGGTTACAATACACGTTACACGACACACATAAGTTTGGTATTTTCTCAACCTTAATACATCAATTCAACGTCGCAATCCAAGCCACAACACTCTAAACGCTGAAAACAAACATTCTATGCTCAATCTCAACTATAATAAAATCTAAAAGCAAAATTTGAAAAAAAGCAAACACTAAGTTCAAATCAAATTACCCACATAGACATACAGGTAGCAAGGTAAACCTACCATTCTTTCGATTCAGTGCTTGTT